ATTTATAATTACTCAAATTGGCCAAAGATTAATAATATTATAATAGCCTTTGTAAACAAAGATGATACTCATTTATCTAGATGTGTTTTAGTCAAGACGTTTTTCATATACTGTAATAGATCTGGATTACTAAGTAGTTCAAAATCTCTTACATGGTACTTCTATAATAGAGACAGACTTAAAAATGGTTAAGATCTTTAAAAAAGGGTGCGGGGGGACACCAAAATGTTGAGATAATGATTAAACTTCAGCCCATTTAAAGCATGTCTATACAGGTAGCAAATACAGGCAGTCTTTACTTTTAGGGGCCTGCTATGGTCTGAATATGTTCCTCCCCAGCCCTCCCCTCCCCCTCCCCATCCCGCCCCAAATTTACATGTTGAAATTCTAATTTGGAAGTGGCGTCTTTATGGGATTGGTATTCTTATAAAAGAGACAAATACAAACAAATTCTCATCATTTTTTTTAATAGAAAAATAAGTTGTTTCAGAGACCAGACTTCTATTTTTCCCTCATTGAAGATTGACTAACTTCATTCTGTGGGTCCCACTATTTTCTTGTGTACATCTGTCAGGGCAGCTGTTTACAAAATGGTAGTAAATACTGGCCAGTATGTTAGGTGCATCCTAGCAGCTGTACTGGTTCATTTGCAAATTGCTACAGACTTTCCAAAAAGTGATCTGGTAATATCTATTTAAATAGGTGTTTATTCCAGGAACAGTTTTGCTAATTAAAAGTTGTGTAATAGAATGTTTTTCTAAAAACAAGATATATACTATATTTTCTCCAAAGGTCTAGTGGTTTGACAGGAGAGGAACTAGGATTGGGGGTCGGGGGGAGATGGGAGGGGAGAGAAAGGATGGTGGGAGGGGAGAAAGAATAATGCAAAAATATCTAACAGTTTGCTTGGGCTAAATCTCTTAAAGCCATAACAATAGTATACTTCACTTGGGGCATATTGTAATATGGAGCAAGAAGAACCAAGGTAGCTATACAGCCTCATAGTGCAGATACAGAAGAAGAGTGGGGGATATTCAGAGAAAGCAGCAGCCCAAAAAGGAAGAAATACTTCGGGTATTGAGGGAAGTAGGAGAGAGATACTTGACTCTACTATCATACAATCATTGGCTAAAATTCTCTTTTCTAGCTCTGTGAAACTTCCAATGCAGGGGTTTTGTTTTTCTAAAGCAACCCCGCTTCTCTGTATATCACTGAGGTTATAGGGCGGTCTCTTATCTTTCCCTTTGTTTTATTGTTTTTGCTGCAGATTCTAAAGTATAGTCACAGTAAATCAAGCACTATTTGGACAGTTATTACTGCATGTTGTGTTTTCCAAGTATAGAGGAAAAGAAAAAGAAAGGTTCTGTCCTAGTGGACCTTTGCAGTCTAGTTGGAAATTTAAAATGTGACTTTATTAAAATATAGTTAAAAATATCCTGCAATGTGATAAGTCAAATGGTATATGCCACTTAGACACTTACCACTCTGCTGAAACTCTTAAACCAGCCATTCTTAACAGGTGACCTTGTCTCTTGCTTCAATAATAAAAACTTAAGTATTAAAACAAATTATCTACCTGTTTTCATCTTACTCATACTTAGATCAAAGTGTGTCTTTTCAAGGCTAATTCTTTCGACCTGTGTTTTCAATTTTAGCTCTTCACATATTTTCTAGCACTAGAGCTTTGCTCTTCTCCCTCTCATGTTAGTACAAATCATTTTGTCACTGGATTTCCCCCACACCCTGCAAATATACTGCTCTTCTGTTTTGAACAAAATTCCTATCATCAACCTTGCATAACACACTCCCTGCCCCTCATCCCACTTTCTCCTGTTCCCATCTCCAACCAAATTCCTTAAAAGACCACTTTACATGGGTCATGCATTGCAGTCACGCCTCTGTCCCCATTATACCTCTGAAATTTCTCTAGTGATGGTATTATTGTAATTGCCAAGTCCAGTGGGCCATTTTCAATTGTTTTTAGATGTCTTTGAAATTAAGGTCTCTTTCCCTGAATCTATGGCTACTTTACTGAGAGTGTGGATTCTGTGTTTTCTGTAAGTTCTTTTTTTTCGGACTGCCCTTGAAATAGCCTTGGCCCTAGTCTTATCCCATATCATCATGGCTCTTGCTACAAATTATATCAGTTTCTCCCATATATATACTTCTAGGTTAGACCTCTATCTTAAGCCCAAGATTACTTATACTTTTCTTATAAGTAACCTCAATCTCAGTGGGTTCAAAATTACTTACTCTATTCCCTCATTCCCTCCCCCCCTTGTTTCTTTTTCTTTATTCCCTATTCCTATGAGTAATACCAACCATTTACTCATTCATCCAAATAGAATCATGGGGATCCCCTCTACTTTGCATCCCCTCATCCAATCATTGATTATAGCTCATCAATTCTGTGTTTTGGTAAGAAACTCTTAAATCTGTCCTTCCATCCCTAACTTTTAGTGTGTAAATTTCTGTTTATAAAATTATTTTAGATTCTTGAAAATTTTTTGGTTTTTGTTCAATACTTGAGTAAATGATTAGATATTAGGGAAATGATAGAGAAGATGACTATTGAACATAGACTAAACTGAGGGAAGAAACCACATACTTTGTGAACTGGGATCAGATTTCGAGTTGAGAAGAAAGAAATGCCCAAGGTATATAATTTACAAATCAGCAGTAATTTACGTGGTAAAAAGAATCCCCACATACAGATCTACATCATCGTATTGCACTTTACTTTATTACACTTTCCAGGTATTGTGTTTTATACAAGTTGAAGGTTTGTGGCAACCCTGTGCTGAGCAAGTCTGTTGGTGCCATTTTTCCAGCAGCATGTGCTTATCTTGTGTCTGTGTCACATTTAATTAAGGTATGTACATTTTTAAGCATACGCTGTTGCACACTTAATAGACTATGGTTTAATGTAAACATAACTTTTATATGCAGTGGGAAACCAGAAACTCATGTGACTTTCTTTCTTGCAATACTCACTTTATGTGGTGGTCTGGGATTGAATCCACAAATACTCAAACTGTACTGTGCTGTGTAAGAGGAGCCTTTATTTACTGGTTAGAAAGCGTTTGGCTATGTAACTTCTTGTCATTTCTTCTAATCTTAGAAAACTTTGACCAAGACATAGAATTCATTTTAACTGGGCTACATCTATTGGAAAGAAGAATAGTTGGGCACCTGGTTCATAGAAACTACAATCTAGTATTTGTCTGGTGATTGAAGAGAATACATAGTAACTCACAATCTGCATCAGAGCTTCTCACAAATCAGTAGGAAGAATTTGAACTCCTTCCCAAGTTGGTGCCTGGCATATCACATTTCTTTAGTATTATTGTATTTCCCATTCTGTCTGCATTTGTTCTACCTGTGTGGTCTCTCCTCAGTGTCTTTTGTCTCAAACACAATGCACACTCCCCAGTCCACTAAACTCCTATTAATCTTTCCAGTAACTCATACTTTGATGAACTGCACGAGTTATTAGTTGAGTGAAGTACTTTCTGAGAGTAACTGTGGAACTCTCAAATCTTTTCATGGTTCCACCTTTTTTCTTTTCTTTTTTTTTTTTTTTTGCCATAAAAGCTTTTTGTAAATATCAGTCTGGATCATTTTACATCATTCTTCTGGGTGTTTTTTTTTAAATCAACTTTGTTATTACTTTATCCTTATCTTAATCTTTGTAGCACAGCTCTTAATGTACAGGTTGATTTAAGTTATCCTCTTCAGTTTTTTTGTAGATAGGTATGTGTGTTTATAGCAGACATGTTTCATTTTATATTGATTTAAATTTATAAATTTACTTTGTAGTGATTTAAATTTATAATTTCTGAATTGAAAAGTTTAAAAGCAACAAATTAAAGAGAAAAACTACCAATAGCTTTATTTTGACACTATTTGTGTGAATTTTTTCACTCTTAGCTTTAGAAATAATTATCAAAAGAATAGGGGCCTCCCCGGTGGTGCAGCGGTTGAGCGCTGGGTTGTGAAGCTGCCCGCGGCCTCTGCGGCGCCGGTTCGATCCCCAGCTGCTCCCCGGCCACTGGAGGAGGGTCCCACATGGCGCGCAGACCTCTCCTGCCGCCCGCTGCTCCCCTCAGCAGTGTACTTCGGTCCTTCTGCCTGCTCTGCTCCTTGCTCTGGCTCTGGTGAATTCTCTCACCCTCCCGTGCTTCTGACTGTACCCAGTGATTGTATAAATAAATAAAAATAAATCTTTTAAAAAAAAAAAAAAAAGAATAAATATATGTGCATTCATTAACTTTCATATGGTTTTACGAGACAGGTATTTATAACTACAATTTATTTACAATTTATAGTAGGCATGAATTTAAGATTAGATTATCTCGGTTATTATGTGGTGCTAATAATAATAAAATAAGATTGTCATACCAGTTATAAATTGTTTTTATAGGTCACTTACTAGTGTGGTTGAATTGTTTTTAAACAATTTTACTATTAGTGAATTAAAAAGTAAGACTGTTCACAGTGTTAATTACTTTCATTATCTTACTTTTGTGAAAAAGGTTATATACTAAGTTAGCTACTAAATTAGTATTAACACTAAAATAAAAAAAGAACTTTTAGTTTCTTTGTATGTTTTTAATTTTATTTTAAACAAAAAAAAAAAAGGGAAATATGACTTGCTTTGCCCACTTGTTTGTTTCCTAATGGAGAAAATATTCACTATGGGGGCTTTAACTTTATTTACAGCAACTAGTTAGTATGTTTCCTATATCACTTTCAGAAGGAAAAAAAAACTATTTGAAACAGTTATACCTTACTTTTTACCATTTAAAAGGTCAGAAAAGTAGTGCCTGAGGACAGCTGAACTATTGTAGTGAATATTCCTGTGGCTCACTAACTCGTGTTTCTGCCAGTGCTTGGAGTGTAGCCACTCCCCAAAGCAGCCCAAGGTTTTGTCTGTATCCTATTCTTTTGCTTGTGTACTCTGTTTGCTCTCTCCCCTTCAGTTTCTTTGTCTCTATATAAATAAGTGGAGAACTTTCCTTTAGTTCAGGGAGCAAAGGGGCAGGAGAAGAGCTATCTTAAGAAGTTTTTATTTGTGCCAACATAGAAGTACTTTGTGGTAGGCCATCTGTACTGGGAGGATTTCCTCAGAATGTAAAGTATGTCGTGAGATTTAGAGAGCCGGGATTTTCTCTGGAGCTATCTGGGAAAGCAGCAGGAAACGTAGACAGCACTGGTTTATGTTGCTTGTAACGTAGGTGGCAAGAATGGAAGACAGTTTGCCCGGTCTCCCTTCAGTGTATGGTTCTTCTACACTTACAAACTTCTGCACTGGTAATGTATCTTTCCTTTCCTGGGAATTCATATCTGTCTCATAGACTTTACTACTTGTGACAAAAGAAGTCTTAAACTTGAGAATGATTCTAAATTCCTTCCTCTCCCTTCCCCCTTTAAATATATGTGTCAGTAACAGCGTAAATATTTGCCTGCATACTTCTATAAAATATGTAACTCTATACCCCTTTATGAACAAATATACTTCCATTGTAAGGGCAGAGTAGTCTTTGTATAACTTGTTTTTTCCCTGCCCACCCCCCATCCAAGGGTGGTCATTATAATATTCTAGAGGGAAAAAAATAAAAAGGAGCTTTCAATGGAAAATAATAGAAAAATGCCTCTTGATTAATACCAAATCAAAAATTGTGTAATTAAACCTAATTTTTGTTTCTATTAAGCGCATCCAGACAACTGCATAAAAATTAGAATTATCTGAGTATGTTTTTAACTGAGTTAAATTAAGTAAGAATTTGGGGCTGGGGGAGGCCTGTTTAATAATAAGTGAGTAATTCTGGTGATAGAAGGAGTAAAGTTCTTCCCTGGGACCAGCCATCATGCAGAGTGCTATAGCAAAAATAATTTTTTGCTTTCCTTTATATTGCACAATTTCTCTTATACTTTATGGTAGTAGATGAATTTTTGGTCAGAATACATTGTAAGGAAAAAAGTTTTTAGAAATAGAAAAATAAGTAAGCAACATTATTTATGTTATTTCACAGAACCAGAAATTAGTCTTATTTTCATATAAATATATTGCTAACATGAGGTAATATTGTCATTTACTAGAGAAAGAAAATTTGGAAGCTTTAGCAGTTGAAATGCCTTAACTAAAGCTGCTTTTGAGAGAAAACTTTGACTTTTGAAAGTGGAATATTAAATAAGAAATACTAATTCCTACATAAATGAATCTTAACATGAGCTGTGATTTCGTGAATATAATTTCTTATGGTTTATTTCCAAAAATAAATTTTAGCTGTTATAAACTACATATCTCATGACTTTTTTTTTTTTTTTTTCCTTTCCTGGTGGGACCCTTGCTGGTGGCCCGGGATCTAACCGGCGCTGCAGAGGCTGTGGGCAGTCTCACAACCCAGGGCTCAACCGCTGGGCCACTGGGGAGGCCCTAGCTCATGTCGTCTTGATAGAGTACTTAAACATTTATGTTTTTATGGGACAGTATTAAAAGATATCTAGTTCCATTTTAGAATAAAACTAAAAAATGATTTAAGTTTCTGAATGCATTCTTTTTTTTTTAAGATTTATTTATTTATTTATTCATACAAGCACTGGGTAATCAAAAGCGTGGGAGGGTGAGAGAATTCACCAGAGCCAGAGCGGAGAGCAGAACAGGCAGAGTGACGAAGTACACTGCTGAGGGGAGTGCGGGCAGCCGGAGAGGTCTGTGCGCTATGTGGGACCCTTGCCCGGTGGCCAGGGATCAAACCTGCGCTGCTGAGGCTGCAGGCAGCTTTACAGCCCAGAGCTCAACTGCTGCGCCACCAGGGGAGGCCCCTGAATGCATTCTAATGTAAATTTTACCAATGTGACAAATCAGTTGTGATTTTGTTTTGTTTTGTTGTTTTTGAAAAAATAATGTTTAAAGATGATCTTCCTTTCTATGTATTGTATTGTTTTTTCTGTCTCAGCCTGAGAATGCTTTTTTATATGTCATATTTTTTTTTAAGATTTATTTATGCATACAAGAACTGGGGTACAGGCCGGGGGCGGGGGGGCTTGAGAGGATTCACCAGAGATGAGTGGGGAACAGAACAGGCAGATTGACTGACATACACTGCTCAGGGGAGCAGTGGGCAAGTCAGGAGAGGTCTGTCTGCTGCGACATGTGGGCAGTTCCCTGGCCCAGCTGGGAATCAGACTAGTGCTGCAGAGGCTGCGGATTGCTCCATAGGCTGCATCTCAACCCCTTGCGCCACCAGGGAGGCCCTGTATATCATATTTTTATTTATATTTTACAGAAATGTTTTCATTTACGTGCATAAAAATCTACAAATTCTCCAAATTGGTGTTGAAAATTTAGGCACATTACTAAATAGGTTTATATTAGAGGCCAAATTAACTTTGTTTTTCTTTACTGAGAAAATATTTAAATTTGTTTACAAAGAATTTTTTTCAAGATTTGTTTGTTTGTTTGTTTGTTTATACAAGCTCTGGGTACAGTCAGAAGTGCCGGAGGGTGAGAGAACTCACCAGAGCGGGGAACAGAACAGACAGACCGACCAAGTACACTGCTGAGGGGAGCAGCGGGCGCGGCAAGAGAGGTTTGCGTGCCATGTGGGACCCTCGCCGGCGGCCGGGGATCAAACTGGCACTGCAGAGGCTGCGGGCAGCTTTGCAACCCAGTGCTCAACTGCTGTGCCACCAGGGAGGCCCTCTTCTGCCTGTTTTTTTGATTGGGTTGTTTAATTTGTTTTTGTTGAGTTGTGTGATTTCTTTGTGTGTAGATCTTTGATATCAGTCACTTATTGGATGTATGGTTTGCAAATATTTTCTCCCATTCCGTGGGGCATCTCTGGTTACTGTCTCTTGCTGTACAGAAGCCTTTTAGTTTGGTATAGTCTCAGCTGTTTATATTCTCCTTTGTTTTCCTTACTTCTAGAGATGAGTACTCAAAGATGTTTCCGAAGTTTATGTCATGGAGTGTTTTGCTTTTGTTTTTTTCTATATATATGGTACAGTTTCAGGTCTTACATCCAAATCTTTTATCTATTTTGATTTTATTTTTTTGCATGATGTGAGATAATAGTGTAGTTTCATTCTTTAGCATGTGGCTGCCCAGTTTTCCCAGCACCATGTGTTGAAGAGGTGTTCCTTATTATAGTGTATATTCTTTACTTCTTTGTCATAGAATAGTTGACCATATATGTGTGATTTTATTTCTGGACTTTCAATTCTGTTGCATTGGTCTGTGTGTCTGTTTTTGTTCTGGCACCATGCTATTTTAATTATTATGGCTTTGTAGTACAGTTTGAAGTCCAGAAGTGTAATACCCCATTCTTCCCCTTTTCAGTCAGTAGATCTTTGGTCATTCAGGGTCTTTTGTGATTCCATACGAATTTCAGCCATGCTTGTTCCATTTCTTTGAAGACCACCATTGAGATTTTTATTGGAATTGCACTGAATCTATAAATTGCTTTGGGAAGGATCGTCATTTTGGTAATGTTGATTCTTCCAGTCCATGAGCAGGGAATATCTTTCATTTCTTTGTGTCTTCTACTTCTTTTAACAATGTTTTATAATTTTCCTTGTATAGGTCTTTTACCTTCTTTGTTAGGTTTATTCCCAGGTATGTATGTATGTATTTATTTATTTTCTACAGTTGTAAAATGAAATGGTTTTCTTCCTCCTCAGGCTGATTGCATATAAGAAGGCAACTGATTTTTATATATTGATTTTGTAACCTGATACTTTACTGAACTGGTTTATTGTTTTAATTAAATTTTCCATGGATTTTTTAGGATTCTCTATATTATATCATCTGTAAATAATGACAGTTTTACTTCTTTTTGCCCAATTTGGATTCCTATATATCCTCCTCTTACCTAATTGCTCTAAATTTGTAATAGTAGTGGTGAGAGTGGACATCCTTGTCTTGTACTGGATCTCAGTGGAAAGGTTTTCAGGTGTTTTTTTTTCCATTAAGAATGATGCTCTGGGGCCGCCCTGGTGGCTCAGTGGTTGAGCACTGGACTGCGAAGCTGCCTGCAGCCTCTGCAGTGCCATTTCGATCCCCGGCCGTTGGCGAGGGTCCCGCATGGTATGCAGACCTCTTCTGCCACTCCCGCTCCTCCCCTCAGCAGTGTACTTCGTCAGTCTGCCTATTCTGCTCCCCACTCTGGCTCTGGTGAATTCTCTCACCCTCCTGCGCTTCTGACTGTACTCAGTGCTTGTATAAATAAATAAATCTTAAAAAAAAAAAAGAATGATGCTCTGGATTTCTGTGTCTGTTGTGATTTCTCTTTCATCAATGATCCTGTTTGAGTTTTCTCCCTCTTTTTTCTTTGTGAGCCTAGGTAGGGGTTTATCTGTTTTGTTTATTTTTTCAAAGAATCAGCTTTTGGTTTCATTGATCTTAGGGACTGTCATTTTGACTTCTATTTTATTTATTTCCTTCTACTTGCTTTAGGTATTTTTAATTCTTATTTTTCTAGTTTCTTAAGATGAGAGATTAATTAGGCTGTTTTCTTTGGCTTCTCGTTTCTTGATGTGGGCCTGTATTGCTATATACTTCCTTCTGCTGTGTTTCATACGTCCCACACATTCTAAAATGTGTCCTCATTGCCACTTGTCTCAAAGTATTTTTTATTTCTTCTTTGATTTCCTTATTAATCCAGTGGTCTTTCAGTAGTCTATTGTTGAATATGTTTCTTGGTGTATGTGTACAAGAGCAGAGATTGGGAAACCAGGCGTGGCAGACCATATGTTTTGTAAATAAAGATTTATTGGAACATAGCCAGACCGAATTATTTACGTTTATCCAGAGCTGTTTTTGTTGGAAAGGCAGGTGTAAGTAATTGCTACAGAGAATATATGGTCTTCAAAGCCTAAAATATTTACTCTCTGGCCTGTTACAGAAAAAGTTTGCCAACTCTGTTATAGGTCAGGATATATACATAAACCTAGTAATGGAATTGCTGGGTCTGTAGGGTGTGTGCATTTTTAGTTTTGCCAAATGAAGCCAAACTTATTAAAGCAGTTTAAGTCCTACCAGCAATGAATACAAGTTCATGTTACTATGTATTATGGGGAATACATGATACCATTTATTGTCACATTTATTTTGCCAGTTTTATACCATTTACATTATAATTGTGTGCCATGTTAGGAAGACAAAGTAAGCCATTTGAGAAAGATTTATATAAAATCATTGACATCCAAAAGGTGCTAGAATGTAGAGGAGTATCTCATTCTGACAATGCTGAATTGCCAACTTTGGGATATTTAAAATAGAATACAATATATTTATCTCTGCAAAGGTGACACATATTACTTGGCAGTTCAGAAGCTAAATTAAGTATAATTCATTTTAGTAACAGCAAGAACAAGCAGGTATTGTAGTTTTAGAACTATAATATGGTTCTAAATATAGTGTTATATAAAGTTTTATTAGTTACATACAAATTTGTATACAAATTTCTAATTTCAGATCTCTAATCTCAAATCTTTAATAAGAGATTTAAAGCCCATAAATAAATCAGGCTCATGGGTAAAGAGATAAATGGGTTTCCTTCTCCAGCCCCCCTCATGAGTTTAAGAAACCTTGAGAATTCATTTGTAATTCATATTTTCAAGGCTAGAACTATTTTGAGAAGGAACAAAGAAAGGAGAATACCATTGTGTAGGGAAAAGGAACATTATATTATAGATGGATTAACAAAGGGAAGTTTAAAACCTCCCCAAAATAGATACATTCTATTTACTGAACAGATGTTTTATTCCTAAAAGTTTATTATGAATGGGAGTGTGGTCCATTGGAGATTGTTAGAGAAAAAAAATAAGAAAAAGATTTCAAAATGGAAAGAGTTAAGAGAGATTGTTTCTAAGAGTCATCTGAGGCAGGAGCTCTAACCCATTTGCTGTGTGATCCTAAGTAATTTACCTAATTACCCCATAGTCTTAGTTTACTTTTCTATAAAATTATAGTGGGAGGGAGGGGTTAGTCTTTAAGGTAGACTCTATGCTAGCTTTAGTAATCAGTGAATGGAAGTTTAATTACTTTATGCTTTAGTATCTTCCTTTATAAAATTTAAACAAATTGGAACTCTGTGCCTGGCAAAAATTTAAGTCAAGCTTCAGAAGCAATGCATTTTTACTTAAACATGAGTTTAACACATGACATGTTTTTATTGTGAAATTCAAATACAGAAATACTTAAATTAAAAAGCAAAAATTCCCCTTTATTCTTTTCCCTTTAGTCTTAGTCTTCTAGTCAGAAGTAACCTAATTATCAGCTTGACATGTATGCTTCTAGTCTTGGCTTTTCTATGTGTACATTATCTATATATATAAATAAAATTTTTATTGATTTTTATAAGTATACTTTTGTGTGTATTTTACTAAAAATTATTCAGTACATATTGTTTCACAATTTGCTTATTACACTGAAGTTGCCTTGTAGATTTAAAATTTTTAGCTTATACATCTAATTGTTTTTAATTGTTGCATGATTTTCTATGGTATGAATGCATCATAGCTTATTGACCCCCATCTATTGATTGTAGGTCATTTCCAATTTTGTGGCAATAATATACAGTGTATTAATAAACATCACACTCAGGATAGTAACTTTTTGAGCCTTCATTAAATGACAGTGCTATTGCATTATTTCATATAATAAGTCTCAAGTTGAGATAAGTACTAATTAGCATGAAGAAATTATACATGAGGAAGCCAGTCACAGAGTTAGTCATGCACTATTCCAAGGCTTTTATTGAATTCCCAATGAGACTCATGCTCCTGAAAAAATAAAGAGCCAAAATTTTAGACAAGGTTATAGAGTTTTAGAGCTATAAGGAAATGTAGAGATCAACTATATGTTCCTTTGCATCTCCATAGCTGCTTAGTGCCCCTATAATTAATCATCCAAACTGGGAAACTTGAGGATAAAAGGAGATTTATAATAATATTTATACTGAAATAGCAGACATATTTTTCCTGCACAGGCCAATATACATGGATAACTTAACCCGAACCTAGACCATCATCACCTTTCACATGGATTTCTGCAGTTGGTTTCCTTACATTTACTCTTACCTATTTCTAGTCTATTCTCACACAGCAGCCAAAAAGACCTTTTTAAAACAAATGTTTGAAAATATCATTCAACTCAAATCTCTTTTTAGGCTTTGTGTAAACATGTATTTATTGGTCCCTCTGTGATTGTTAGACTGCAACATGAAATAAGGGCACCTAAATTGTGAATCTAGAGTTCTGTGTTTGAGTCTTAGATATCAAGACTAGTTTGGTGACCTTGGACAAGCTATTTAACTTCTCAAGCTGTTTCCTCAAATATAAAAGTGCAGATAGTGTGAGGAGGGGTATGACGTAGTAAATATGAACAGTACAATATAAATGCAGGACATTGTTAATAGTTAACTTTGTGCTTATTAAACCCTTTGAAATACTATCTTTGTGTCTTATCACAGTATCTAGCAGCTTGTGGTAGGATTTTTATAAGCTAAACCTTAACTTTCCTGTGACTATCCACATTTCAAAAAGTAAAAACCTAGTCATATTTAAAAAACAAGCCTTCAAGAGTTAAGTGACTTACAAAAGTAAAAGCTAATTATGTCAATACTAAAACACAGAAAAACAGTAAATTTGGCATAATTGTTTGATAATCTTTCTACTGACTTCCCAAAAGAGTTAAACAGATTAGGTTTATAAAAATCAAGTATTTACCTATGATTGTTATTTAAATATGTAACTCATCCATCATGAATTGAGGACAAATTAGAAAGGCCTATCCATATAATTTGTTGACTTAATCAGAATGTTCTGCTTACAAGTAATAGTTTGCAAAAGGGAATTTACTATGTTACATCATTAGCTACGAGGAATATTAGAACAGCTCTAAGAATTAAAGATCTACAGTTTCAGAGACTAGAACTGGAACTCAGGACAGTCAGGACTCTATTAGTGGCAGTTCTAGGTCTGTGTCCTTACAACTGGTAAACCAGGAAGGATGGTCACCACCTCTTTTTGGAAAATTTGAGAGGATTACCTTTGGTTTAACGCATAGCTCACTATCATTCCTGTAGTGCTGTTAGATAGAACCATTTGAAATTGCTAAGAGTCATTCATACTTTATCAGCTAAAAAGACCATTTCATTAGTTCATCCTATTAATAATGTGGGGTAGGTAATAAAGAGTTTGAGTGTATCATTTGTTGACAGCCCTAAAGGGACCTCAAAAAATAGTGGCATTTCACAAAAGAGAAGACCTGTTCCTCTTACCAGAGAAAGAAAGCATTCTGGCTGATAAAAGTAATAGTGATCGTCATCTAATACACTTACAAAGATAAGGAATTAGCTAGAATAAGCTAAAATCTCCAGAGAAATGACAAAGACCTCAATCAAAAGTGAAAGAGTAAATTGTTCTTACCGATCCTTTTCTTAATCATCTCGGAGTTTAACAAATCTGCCTTTATATGTAACAAATATGCCCACATTTCTTTATACCCTTTTAACATTGCTGATGTATGTTAAACATTTATTGACTGTCACACATCTTTGGTACCTTTTTCATAAAAAATATTTGAAAATGGGGCCTCCCCAGTGGTGCAGCGGTTGAGCGCTGGGCTGCGAAGGTGCCCACAGCCTCTGCAGCGCCGGTTCGATCCCCGGCCGCCGGCGAGGGTCCCACATGCCACGCAGACCTCTCCTGCTGCCCACTGCTCCCCTCAGCAGTGTACTTTGTCAGTCTGCCTGCTCTGCTCTCCCCTCTGGCTCTGGTGAATTCTCTCACCCTCCCACGCTTCTGACTGTACCCAGTGCTTGTATAAATAAATAAATAAATCTAAAAAAAAAATTTGAAAATGAAAAATTGAAACTCAAGTGTAAAATAAGTTGTTTATGGTTATGTAAGTACTTAGTATGGTCCAGAATTTGAAGTCAAAAATGAAGATAAAACCCAATTTTTCCTTCCATACTAGTTTCACAGAGATTGTCATTGAAAATACCTGTAAAGGCAGAAGAATGTACATATGTATGATTGACAGATATTTTGGCATCTTCACTGTTAAATCTGAAGTATTGTATTTGATTTTTAAATACTGAGGGCTCTTTTTTTGACTGAAACTTTGAGCTACATTTTCTATTTTAAAAGATGTGTGGCACATTATCTCAGTTTGTGGAAAATCACACTGTGCTTTGTTGTATGAATGACTGACTCAATTTATTTCACAGTGTTATGAACCGTTGTTATATAAGAATCAAAATTCCCCCAGAATTTCTCCACATGTGTTGAGTTAGCCAGTAACAATTGATCTTTCTATACACGTGGATTCTGACTGACAGACTGTGTGCTCTGAAGTTGCACAGCTTTGGAAATAATTTGTAATTGCTTTATAGCAAAACTTTATATAAATCATTTTGTTTTTGTTATATACCCAAGGTCGATATTGGTTATGTGCTTCATAGAAACCATACCTTTTTTTTTTTTTTTTTTAAGAAGTTTGGGTGTTAGGTGGAGAGGAGTACCAAAAGACTTCCTAATTATAATACAGTTTTTGTGAGTATAATAGTTTTGGAGTATAGACAAAAGTAGAGTGCTTTTTGATAATTAATCATGAAAGTGAGAGGGGAGGGGTTCCCTGTCTGATACACAAAGTGAAAATGAAGTTTTATTTGTACTCTTTTTTTATTTTCATAGAGAAGTATGACAGTCATGTGGTTATTAGGAAGGATGCTTTGAGTAGTTTGCTCTCTTGCAAATTATCATATTTCTATGAAGTCATATATTTGGGGAACATTTCTATAAAAAAACAAAATTATGTGAGGGAAATTTTCATAATTTTAATTGTATGTCAGATATATTAGCATTTAATATTTTAAATTAGTTGAAACAGTTATGAAAATCTTTACAGAAGTTAATCTGTTCAAAAATGATGGTTTTCAGTTTTTATATTTTAAAGATTCATAGATTTTCTAATTTTTCATTAGATTATTTCTTAATTAGTTGACCTGTAAAATATTTCATGTTTTCTTTATTTTATAGATGATAGTATTTCTGCTGCAAGTACTTCTGATGTTCAAGATCGCCTTTCAGCTCTTGAATTACGAGTTCAACAACAAGAAGATGAAATCACTGTGTTAAAGGCAGCTTTGGCTGATGTTTTGAGGCGCCTTGCAATTTCTGAAGACCATGTAGCCTCAGTGAAAAAATCTGTCCCAAGTAAAGGTAATTAAGTTTGTTGTAAAGTAATAAGAATCTTGATTTTAACTTTTTTTGAGATAATATGTAAAACTTGTACATTTTACCATTTAAATTTAAATTACATCAAAATTGGAAATATAAAACTATAGTTTCTCTTTAAATACTGTATAGTTTTTTTATTCCCATGTTCCTATTCCCATGAATTTCTGAGACTTTATTATTTATTATTTTAAATTAGAAATTTTTGTATAATAGCATATACTATTACATATATCATACCATTTAATACCACATACTATTACATATGTCATATTATTTGTGAATATAGTACCTTCCAACTACATAACAAATTTACTGTGGTGGGAATGGAATTTTATTTATGTCCCATAGTACTGAGCAGTTTATCTTGAACATAGCAGGTAAGCACTCATGTACCTTTTTTTTTTTTTTTTTAAAGATTTATTTTGACAAGCACTGGGTACAGTCAGAAGCGCGGGAGGGTGAGAGAATTCACCAGAGCAGGGAGCAGAACAGGCAGAAGGACGGAAATACACTGCTGAGGGGAGCAGCGGTCGCGGCAGGAAAGATCTGCGTGCCATGTGGGGCCCTCGCCTGGCGGCCGAGGATTGAACTGGCGCTGCAGAGGCTGCGGGCAGCTTCGCAACCCAGCGCTCAACCATTGCACCACCGGGGAGGCCCTTTTTTTTTTTTTTAAGATTTATTTATGAATACAAGAGCTGAGCTATAGATCATAGGTGTGGGGGGTGAGAAGATTCACCAGAGACAGAGTGGGGAACAGAACAGGCAGAATGACTGCTCCCCGCTGCTGAGGGGAGCAACGGGCGAGTCAGGAGAGGTCTGCTGAGCCATGTGGGTTGCTCCCTGGCTGACCGGGGATCGAACTCGTGCTGCAGAGGCTGCAGACTGCTTCATAGGTTGTGTATTAACACCTTGAGCCACCAGGGAGGCCCTTCATGTACTTTTAAAGTCAGTCTCCTTAGTATGTAAATTATTAAGCTCATTATAGTTAAATAGCTTCACTCTAAATTTTCTGTGGGTAGTAGCCAGCAGAATCCTGAAGGTTTTTAAGTTTAGAAACTTACTGCCAACCCCATACAATAGGAATTTTAACTTCCAGATATTGGGAATTTTCACAAGTTAAAAGAAATAGTTATCAGGACCCTGTTACTCTTGAGTTTGGAGTAGATGTGGTGTGACCTTTCTCTTTCTCCAACCACCCAGAAAGAATTTTTTTTTTTTTTTTTTACATTTTTAAAAAAAGGACAGGTTCATTATTAGGGAAAGGAGAAAGAAAAAGAGAGGCACCTGTATAGCCACAGGTGAGCAGGAGAGCTGCCATCCAGAAAGAATTTTAAATTCTTTCATATTAATCAGCAGTTGAACATATTCTTCTTGGTAGAGTTAGATGGACATAGACATGATTATCCCCATTCTGGCAATAGGGACAGTGAGAATATTCATTGACTTAACAATCTACACCACAATATATCAATGCAAATTCTTAACCTTTGGGGGGAGTCTTGACATAACTCAGAGCTAGACAAAAGATAGTTAACAAGATATGAGGAGCAGATTTGGAAGAAAGATTATGAATTTAGTATTTGAATGTTGGGTTTGGGCCACATATGGCAAATAGCTGAATTACAGGTCTAGTGCTCTTGGGAGTCTTGGTAAGCAATAAGAATTGGGGAATATTGAGCTAATGGGTAGTTGAAGTCATAGAAAGAGGTTATAAAATAAGAAGGGTCAGGATAGTTTTATTCAGAGCTCCAGTGTTTTTGCATGCAGAAAGTGTGGTTCATATTGCTAGCCTCTACAAAGAGGTCAATAAAACAAAGACTGAGAGACAATCATTAGATTTGTCATATACGAGAATATTGAAAACCCTTCAAAAAGCATTGTTAGCAGAGAGAGCTTTGTAAATCAAATTGCTCTATTTTGAGAAACAGCAATTGAAGAGAATTGTGGAGTTATAATCACTCTTTCAAAAACTTCCTGAGAGGGGAGATGGTAGTAATTGAAGAAGATGCTAAATTAAAGGCCAGTTTTAATTTTAATTTTTTAAAGACATTGTAGACTTGAGCACAAAGATATGTTGAGGGCAAAAAGGCAGCAGAAAGGAAGATGATATTGGTAGGGGAGGGCTGCTGATAATTGAAACAAATTTCCTGAGCTTTTGAGGAAAGATCTTAGAGTAGGTAAGAAACTGTTAGTCTTAGAGAAAAAGACTACTTTTGAAATAGAATGGAAAGAGATGAACTTTGGAAGTGGTAAAATATTCACAGTTGTCAGCTTTGGAAATTTCATTCCTTATCACTGTCTCACCTGGAGACTTTGATGCCCTTGGGGGTAGTAAATACTTGGAATGGTTAGAGTGCAATTGAAGATCAGAGACTTAATGAAAGAAATGTTAAGTGACCCTGAAAGTATTGAGGTGGGAAACTTTGGGGGGGGAGCATTCAGTCTGTCTTGTTTTGTGATTTTCATTTTTTGTATATCCCATTCTCAAACACTTGATTAGATGTTCATTGTAGAGAGACAGAAAGATGACAGGATTGATCTTTTGCATTAGTAAGACAATTATATCAGTGAAAGAGGATAAGGGATTTGAGAGTTTGGCAAGTTGATAGAAGCCACTCTGGCTTATAATGTTATAATAAATTTTTAAAGAACCAACTTTAAGAACTGCCAAGATCAAACCAAGGAAAAAAGTTATCTGGTTATAAATTGATTTTTATAAGAGGATTTTTGGAGTTGTTAGAGTAGAATGAAGAACTAGATCAGTTAATGTGTATGTGTTATATGGCACAAAGGAAACTTAGATACCGGAGCTAACAAGAAGCAGGTTTATTGCACCGGTGCTGACTCAGCAGATTCGCATCCAAAGGCTGAGCCCCATTCGTGGGCAGTCCAGGGCTTATATATACTTCCAGTTTTTATAAGATTCCAGGGGGTGGGTTTGCACTGGCAGCTGTACATGGTAAGATATGACGTGGCTGCATACCAAGAGGTGAGTTGTACAGTTGCATACCAAGGAGTGAGTAAGGGTCAGTAGTCATGGGAGCCCCCACCACCCCCAGGTCCATTCTGCCTCATGGCAGTACATGGTCTCACATGAAGCAAGATTCATACCAGGTATTAAGTTGCATACCAGGAACTGAGCAAAAGGTTGTTACTAAGAGCCCCCAGGCTGCTTATCTCAGGTCACTGTGCTTCATATGGACCTTACACCGAGTAAACTTTGCATGGAGAGCAAGTTTCCCCTCTGTAATTGGTGTATGTGCCATTAACTTCTCTTCATTTTAAATCCTGTAAGAAAAAAATGATATAGTAATGGGTTATTATACACAACATGAATAAAAATTATTTTTTTAATCGTTCATAGTAGCCTTTAAAATATTTTAAGTTATTATGCTAAAGCTGTAGTACATTGATTGTAATTTTGTGTTGAGAAAAATATAAACGTTTTTCTCTTTTATTAAGGTAGTGTTTGTTAACATTTAACTCTTTCCTCTCATTTTTATTTACTAAGATATTTCAGTAAAGTATTTATAGGGACTTTTAAAGACTTTGTTTTCTTTGATATTTACTTATTTACTTAGCTTCTACCTGTTTCAGTGTCATAAAATACAAATATAATGAAATAGCTATCTTCTTTCCTACTCCCCAGGAACATACTTACTGTAAATTGTCCTTTGTAGTCCTTTAGTCACAATTTCTTTGTTTCTAAAGTGAGTTTAGGATTCCTTTTGTTCAAGGTTCTTTAGGAGAGACTTACCCACAGACTTATCCACAGTTCTGGAGCCACAGAGCCACCTACAGCTGCTACATTGGAACTTTTTCTTGCCACAGGGTACTCTTATTTTTCATTAACCTTATTAGAGCGAGAGTAGATTTTTTTCCCCCTCTGCATTCTACTTCCTAAGTTCACTTTCACTGCTCTCCTTACAATGTGTTAACACGATTACATTCTGAAATAGACTCCACAAGTGATTATTCTTTAAGTTACTTCGTTACCTTAGACACAGGCTTTGAAATTGCTGCTTACAAAATGGATTGATGGGAGGGATTGATCATATAATAATTTGGGGGAAATAATGTTTTAGAAATTAATGTGATTCACTGTTTACTGGAAAAATTTACCTGGCCAACCATTATTTTCCAATGTTGATAAAAAAGCATCAAGAGAGAGATATTTTTAAAGTTTCATTAATTTTATTATTGACAATTCTAAGCAGCTTTATCTTGGAATGTACATTACATATATATAAATACTATAGAGAGTAATTGAAAAAATACTAAGTCGTTCTTCACTGTTGGTATTTGTATATAGGCTTAAAATCAACTATCAGTTTTGATATTTAAAGGGATTAATATATTTTAAAGGATTAATATGTTAATGGAATGAATTTTTGGAATATTTTAAGGAAAATATTTTAAAGTAAAGTTTTTACCCCCTTCCATTAAAATTTAATGTTTCTGATGCCATGTAAAATGTTATTATATTTATATGTGGCCTTTTTTTTTTAGTCCTCTGTAAAATTAGAATCTAATGTTCACTTTTACATAAATTACTGACAGGACAATAATCATTGTCATCTCCTTAAGATAGTCACATTTTCCAAAAAGTTTTTCTTTAAAGGTAAGAGTAAGCCTCCATGGATATATATGATACAACTGTTTTGTGAAACTGGTTAAAGGTATAGTTCAACTTCCTGTTGTTGAAGATAACTATTACTTTTGCAAGATGGCAGTTATTGTGGGGAAAGTAATATGACTTTAGATATGGCTAAACTAAATGTTAATTGTATCTGTGCTACTATTAATTGATTAATGACAGTCTACTGTGTCACTTCATAGTGTTGTTTCCATTCAGAAATGCCAAAATCAGAAACACACCTAACTAAACATTTCAGTATTCTTAGTTCTCATCTTTTAGTTTATCTTCTCCAGTGTGCCAACAATACTAAGCCCCACTTTTTCTTAACTCTATTATATCAGAA